TGCTTGAACTTGGCCACTGGGCTTTGGTCAGACTGGGAGATTAAGGCACTTTTCCTGAGTGCCTGCAAGGTGCTGCAGTGACAGCAGTGTTCCTGGGTGGGAACCCAGTGAGGACAGCAGGGGCCAGACAGGTTAAGTATTGCCTCTCTTCCCACCCCAAGCCTCTGGGTATTAACTTGTTTTTTGTTTATCAACCTTTTCCACAGTGAGAAGAGCAAGGGGGAGGTCTCCCACCTGCATGTCAAGATGCATCAGCTGGGCCATGAACTCACTGGGCACAGGGCTGCCCACCGTGGTGGCCCTGGCACTGTCCAGGTGCCGAGCCAGAGGCTTGCAGAGGCTGAGTGGCTACGAGGAGCAGAGACAGCCACAAGGTTAGAGCACCACCAGCAGCATGCAGCATGTTGGATGGAGACAGAGCTGCTCCGACACCAGCTGAAGGCATCACAGGAGAAGGTGGGTGTCACTCAGTTGGTGGCAGGGTGGCAGGCTGCTGAGTGGTTGCTGGGATGTTGGTATTGCCCTGCTTGGGGCTGTATTGGACAACTTCCATGGGCAGAAAAGACAGTCCTCTTCCTCTTTGTGGGGGACAGATATGTCTGAAACCAGTTCAGGTGCAGCTAGGTCCTTGGTCGCAGCTGCTCCTGTGGTGTCCCCTCTGTCTTTGTCCTGTGCCGGCTGGCTGGGCACAGGAGATGGAGGCTGAGTTGAGGTGGCTCACACAGGAATGGCAGGAGCTGTGGTTGCCCGTGTCTTGGCTGACAGAGAAGCTGGAGGAGTGGCAGGATAAAGCAGGGGCTGGGCAGGGATGACAGGCCATATCTGAGGGGAGGGAAACCAGACGATTGGAGCAGGGGAACAAGGACTATTAGGATAGGGGAAAGCCAAGGTGAGAAACCTTACAGATGTGGTAATATCCCTCTCCTGCCTTCTACCCTGGGCACAGGCTCAAGGACTGGCTTTCCAGAGTACAGCTTGTCTATGCCAGCCACCCCTAGGTAGTCCTAGGGCAAAGCTGGACCAGACCTGCTTTCCAGACCCAGGTTTGCCCATTGCTGGTGGCAGGAAGTAGAGGACACGTAGACTACAGCTAGGGATTGAAGCCCAGCTTGCCTGGGATGTATTTAAGAATAAACCTAGGTGAGCGGCCCCCTCTGCCTGCTGCCATTGCCACCCTTGGTGCTAGGACTCCCTCCCAGAGGATCCCTCCAGCAATTCCTGCTCCTCTCTGCTCAGCAAGGGGAGCATCTCCTCAGCAAGGGGTCCCTGTTTCTCCTCCTGCAGCTCTCAGTGCTCTCCATCCCTGGCTTTGTAGGCTGCCCAGCAAGTACCACTCCCCCAGTCCTGCTGCTCGGCTGTGGCCGTGCCGGCGTGAGAGCTGAGGCCGGGGCTCAGGGTGCTTTCTAGCCTCTCCCCTCAACCGCAGCACGCTGTGGGCCCATCCCCTTGCTGGCACAAAGCTGTAACCAGTTATCGGCCTTTCTGTGTTGCAGCTTGTAGAAGCCAAAGCAAGCCTGAGCCTGGTCAAGACTTGGCACGCTCTGCAGTTGCAGCAGGCCAAGGCCCAGATGAACAACATGGTGCCAAAGAAACAGTTTGAGCAGCTGCAAACCTGCTTGAGAGAGGAACAGTGCAAGGCTCAGCAGCTCCAGGAAAACCTCCACCGGCAGGCTGAGCAGGCATGCAGGCAGCTGGTCAGGACCCAGGTAAGCAGGGAACTGTGGAAGCTCAGTCAAGGGTAACAGGGAGGGAGCACTGCCAGCCTGGAAGGCAGCTGTGGTCGAAGCCACTAAAGCTCTGGGTGGAAGATGCTGTCTATCAAGAGCCCATGTGGAAAATGCACTTGATCTTCAAATTCAGTTGCAATTGTCATTGCTCATTAACCCAGTCACCACTCTGCCCTCAAACAAGATCCCTCCTCACTCTAATCTACCTACCCCAGACCAGATACCTTGTGCCTAGAGGAGCAGGAGTTATCCAGGGAGACACTCCATGTTGGCTCAGCCTGGAGAAAGCTTTGAGTCCTCTACACCTCTAGCCTGCACAGAGCTGGGTGGTTTTATCTCTAGGGCACTGGGCAACAAAGTGTTGGGTTTTTGCGAGTTTGTCCTTTGTTTCAGAACACTGTGATTCAACTGAACTAACCTGGGCAGAGATGGAGCAAATTATAACCTAAGGAATTAAACTGAGCAGACACAAAAACTGCATCCAAGGAAACTATGCCTTCCCCTGTGCTTTTCTGGACATGGCTGAGAGAGGGGAGGCCACTGGCTTGTTTTTATAGAAAAACATTGCTGGGAAAACTGTGCCTTGTCTTAAAACTGGTTGGTGCTGACCTAGGAAAGGTAGTACTGCTCTAGACCCTTGTGCCACTCCTCTTTGCATCCTGCATCACCTCTGCTGATCCCCCATGCTCTCCTTCAGGGAGTGTGAAGGTCTGTGAGTGGGGCCCAGGGTAAATGCATGGTCCAGGATTGCCAGGGGCCAGGTGAGCACTGGGACAACCCGCTGTTAGGCTTTGTTGCCTGCTGCAGGAGGAACATGAGCGTCTGCTGCAGGCAGCTGTGGAACAGGTAGAGGGGCTGGAGCATAATCTGAGGAGTACCAAAGCTGTGCTGGCAGAGAGGGCAGCTCAGCTCAAGGACACACAGGTGAGTGCAAGAGGGGTTAGTGCTGTGTGGCTGAGACCCCTGTGTGGGGATGCTGAACCTTAAGCCTCCTGTCTCTGCTGTAGGCCCAACTCTCCAGGAGCAAACTGCTGATTGAAGACCTCTGTGAGGAGAACAGGGGGTTTGCAATGGCCCTGCAGGCAGCTGAGCTGAAGCAGAAGAGCACTGAGGAGAAGAACCATCTGTTGGATGAGCAAGCCTCAGCCCTGAAGCAGCTCATTGGAAAAATCACACCAGCATCTCTGAGTGGGTGATGGGGTACCCACTGTCACAGCCCTGCCCCTGGTCCTGGATGGGGTTTGTGAGGTGTGGAAGGGGAGGTATGGCTGGGTTGGGAAATCAGCCTTGTCCTCCTAGGTCTTGCCAGGATTTTCCTGGGTAGACGGTAGAAAACAGAGAGACCAGACAGAGTCCTTTAAGGAAATTAGTCCTGTGGATCGCTGAATTTTCCTACTGAAAGCACCAATTTTGGTGCCTTTCTCAGTGGCAGATTGGATGCTTCGTCTCTGTGGAGGGTTGCTGTTGGGGCCATGCTCTTACGGCTGGAAAGCCATGGCAGGAGGGCTTGCAGGTTCCTGCTTCTGGCTCACTCCGAGCAGGAAAGCTGTGTTGTGGCACTAAAGTGTTTGCGATGTTACAGCACCTCTTGTCATCTCCAGCCTGCTCAGTATTTCAGCAGCTTCATGTAGCTGTTGCTGAAGTTTTGTTCCCTACAGCTCCTCTTGGGCTCTGGGAGACTCTGGCCCTCCTAAAGCCTGAGCCTAGAATCCAAACCAACCTGCTGCTGGATTGTTGCCTCTGTGGTGAGCAGGACGGAGGAGATGAGGGAAGAGCCTTCTTTCAATTTGAGCATCCAAGGCTTGAGGCAGGGTTGGTGACCCCTACTCAGCACTGCACTTCTTCAGAGGAGACCAGGAGACATGGTAAGTGAACTGCATCATCTTGCCTTCCTTGTTGGCCTTCACATACTGTCAGCGAGTACTGCTCTTGCCAAAATAACTTGTCTGAAAGGCCACAAAGCCAAGTATTCACATCAGCAAATACCAAATTGATTGATCTGCCCAGGGAGTTACCCTCTGCATGGACGATGCATGGCTCAGTTATTCACCCGAGGGCCACTAGCTGGGAAAGGGCTCCTAGGATTTTGGGGGCTATGGAGGCTCCTGTACAAGAGAGACTATAGACAGGCCTGACTGGATCAGGGTAGCAAAGCAGAGGCTGGACAAAGTCAGTACAGAGAAGAGGGCTTAAAAATAGCTCAAGCTGTTGTTGGTTCAAGAACAAAAGGGGATAACTTGACTGTGAGCTGAAACTCAGACGCTGCCTTTAATTCCCAGCCTGCCAGGGCATAGGGGTTCCCTGGCCCTGGGACAGTGCCAGGAGATGAGTGGAGGCCCCACAGAGGGTGTGGGCTAGCTCAGGGAGGTTCCTGGGCTGGGGCTGGGACAGCAGTGCAGTATCACCCCAGGCATTTATCCTGTTCCTTTATCTTCCCTAAGGTATTTGCTTTTTGTCTCCTGTCAGAGATGAGTGCTAGGCAAACCTCTAGTCTTACCTAGCGCTTGTGTTTTCAGAAGGGTTATCTCTCAGCCACTACTCTAAAGTGAGCAGCTCCATTAGGAAAACCCGAGAGGGAGACCAGCTCTTCAGCATTGCTGTGGTTTTGTGCTAACTGGAATGCTGAAAACCCTCTGCTCCCTTTCCCACCCCTACTCCAAATAGTCCCTAGGCCCTGCCAGTCCAGTGCTCTGGGGAAGGAGACTCTTTACAGAGGGACAGAGGCACAGCCCAAGCGTGCCAGGAGAAGCCTTGGCCAGGCCCATGCATCCTGCAGTTCTCATTCACTCAGCACCTTAAGAAACAACATTTGTAGGCCTCTGATGGGAGGGAGGCAAGGCTTCATGACTGATCTTAGGAACTCGTGCAGCCTCACCTGGCACTTGGAGGACCAGATCTACTGAGACACCTAAATAACCTGTTGAGCGTCACCCTGCAGGGTCAAGATGGCCAGAGAGCCAGGTCAGAGTGCTTGACGAATGTAATGTTAACTCTTGAAAAACACTAAATAATTGAAGGCTGAAACAGTTCTTTATTTTGCAACCATGGAGTTGTTCTGGCTTCTGGAGCCTAGCCAGTCAGCGTGAACACAACTGCTCCAAACAAAAACACATTCACAAAACCCACTTGTAGCTGCGGGGCTGGGATAACGCTTCCCCTTTCCCCCATACTTTATAAACTCGGGGCTGATCTTCATGTCAGGTACTAAAGAAGCCTTGCACACACCAGAGTTTAGTCCCCATCGTGGGCAGTTGTCTCTCCTGTCCTGCATGCTTATGACAGAATGTGCTCAAGGACTCCTTGTCTGATCAACTGCTCACATTTCCAGCGGGGCAAAAAGTGCTGCACAGAAACAGATAAACTTTCTTTGAACCTCAGGCAGCATGGATTCACTGCTGCACATGACCAGCTCTGTTTGTTATGCTGTGTGCCCACTGCATTGTTGTACCAGCTCAGGCAGAGCTGAACCTGCATCCTGGGCCACACAGACAGCTTGCAGCATGTGCAAGGAGCTGTGTGTGCAGGAACTGTGACATGCGGTGACACTAGGATAAGCAGGGGAGGTCATGGGAGAGAAAGGGAAGAGAACAGACCACACTCTCTTGTCACAGGTACCTGGCTATTCTTCTTCAGCAACTCAAATTCTCCGTAATCTCTTAAACACCGCACCTGCAAAGGAGAAGCGCAGCTCTCATCATCAGATGACACATCCTTCCTCACCTGCTGAAGCCTCGATCTAGAGCAGACCTGGAAATGCAGAACTGGACTGATCCCACACTGTGGGCTCTGGCTGATGTTCTCTTCCTGCCTCTGCCTGGAGCAAGAAGCATCAGCCAGCAGAGCAGACCATCCCAGCCCTCCACAGAGACGAGAGGAAGAACAGCACAAGAGACAGGGTCTGGGGAACAGCAGCAGCATTTCCAGGAGAACCACATGGCAGAAAATGCCAATCTGTTAACAGTGAAGCTGTCTCAAGGGGCAAGTTGATTCCCACTACATGTTCTTTCTAAGAGAACATTGGAACAGAGCACTTTAGCAATGGATTCTGATTGCTCCCATACTTTATTGTATCGATTGTGTAAAATGATTTATAGTCATATTTATCAGAGTCATTTAAAATAAAACTAGTTAACAATCTTTAACATGGGAACAAGGTTTCTAGCTGATCTGAGAGTTGGTTATGTTTCTGCAAAATGCTGTAACAACTCTGTGGGATTCAGACCCCACTAAACAAATTCCCTGCAGACTAGAAATATCATCTTTCAACATTTGAGTCCTCAGTAGCAGAGAGAGTAAAACGTAGAAGCTTGTGGAAGCTTTTGTGCTCTCAAAAAGCTTTGCTCACTGACCTTATGACTTAGGATGGGGATGAAATTCTCTTAAAAAAAAAAAAAAAAAAAGTTGGGCAAAATGTTTGTTCATTTCAGAAATCACTAATCTTGCACTTACTTACTTCAATGTACAGGCTTTTAGGAGGTTTTATGTCCTGTGTGAGGTCCAGCCCCTCCTCTCCTCCTACTGACCTCATGTAGGTAGCCAGAGACTTTTTGTACCGATTGAACCACTCCACCTGCGGATGTTAACAGTGATCCCTCAGATAAAAGCCAAACAACTAATGCTGAAAGACAGGTCCCTGATGAATGAAATCTAATTTATTTGTGCTTCAGCCCACTGTTCCCAAGGGTGTTCGTGCCAAGGTGAACACAAGCTCTTCTAAAGGGAAGAACTGCCCCAGCGGTAGAGCAATCTGGACTCAGGGTAGGACACATGCTGCTAATGCCAGCAGCTCTCTCCATCGGTCTAGAGGTGGCATTTGAGAGCAGCACGTGAAGACAGTTCTGCTGGCTGTGAGTCTGAGCTAGTGCATTTGATCCATAGAAGTGCCAAGCATCACCTGCACGGGGTATCCATTTGGAATTGTACCCATAGAAAATAAATTTAAAAAATCAATATTTACAGAAAGGCACATTAAGTGTCATGTTTATAGTGGGGGAAGAGAAGTGTACCCTGTTTTGACTCTACTAAATAGATAATCAGTAGGAATAAAGGGAAAGAAAAAAAACAGACAAGGCAGACGTACTTCCTCAGCTGACATGTGAAACTGGATGCTGCTTGGCAGGACGCTGCCATATTCCCACCTTAGTGCTCGGATCCGTAGCAACCGGTCATACCTGGACGAAAAAAAAAAACAAGGGGCAAACCCAGCATCTTTGCTGAGCTGAGGGCTGGCAACATCCCCTGGTGGCACCAGTGCCCCAGCCTGGAGAGCAACAACTTGGGTCATTCCACCCACCTTCCCTTAAAGGATGTGATTTTTGGCCTCTCCAGCAATTAAAACTTTGAAAGAGTAGGATGAACCTTTTGGGCCAGCGTTTTGTGGGACCGGCAACGAACACCGAGAGAGAGCCCCTCGCCTGGGCCGGGAGTCCCAACACCCAGCGCTGGGGGACACCCTGCTTTCTGAGG